TGTCTAATCCTATATTTAAGTACTCCCAATCCAGGGAGATCTTGAAATCCAGGGAAGTGTACTGGTATTTTTCACAGTGGTTGCAGTCGACCGAATTAGACTGTTTATTTTCATCCAAATAGTGGTCATTACTCTTCCTAAGCACCGACGTCTTCCAGCCTATTTCATCTGTTGTCTTCTCTTTATCATCTCATTTGTGGTTCAATTAAGTGCGAGGATTTGAGAATGCAGTGTATATGATGTACCAAATGTGTGAAAAAGGCGAAGGCGCCACATAAAATCTGCTCGTTCTGATCCATTATCCACAGTCTTTGACACATCTGGTGGACATTAATCAGCTCCCAGTTAGCTCATCAGCGGGCCTATACTGAACAGTGGAACAGCAGGTAAACTCAGGGGCAGGTGCGTCACTCTAACACCAGACAAATGCCTCCATCTGTGGCTCATTACAACTTAAACATGTTGTGGAACTTCCTCCATACTTTGTTAGACATGCCCTCATGATTAAATTAATTTGTTAAATCAAGTGATGAGATTATAAAATATGTTTTATGGGGTCTATTAAATAATTAGATTTAAAACTAAATGAACAGAGGCTATGAATAATGCAATATAATAATGGAAATCTACAAAATGCATAAGAATCATTTTGATAGTTAAAGGGCGCATATTACGCTATATTCTGATCTATGTTATAATGTCATAATCAAAAACATACCTGGAGTTGTGTTTTGTTGCATTCACACATGGTTAACACACAGAGTCTGCATATTTAGGCTGAGTTCTTCTCAAGCAGTCAACAGTCTGTTTCACCTTGTGATCTCATGTGGTAATGTAGAAAGTGTTCCACTGTGTTTCAGGTTACGTTTACATGATAACAGTATGAACAGAAGATGCAAAAGTGGCGTTGCATCTTCACTTTTTATTCCGCGTTTAGACAAGTGTTTTCAGGAGGAAATCTGCGTACATACAGTGACACAAAAGTGTGTGGAATTTAATTGGGTATGTATGCTAGGCGGCTAGGTGGTGACACTAGGTGGTGACGTATGTGACGTACACACTTATGCGACGTGAGCAGATCTGACCAGAGTTTTGTGTCTTAGGCAGTGTAGACGGAAACGCTACGGCGGAGCATATTGAACTTTTCCACTCTGGAGGGTGGTTTCAGATTTTGGTGTTTTTAAGGCCCAAAAACACAGTCACCATCTAAACGAAAGGCCCTTCCGGTAAAATATTTTGTCATTTTTATCTGCAAGCCTTCTCATGTAAACAGGTCCTTAGTTTGAGTTTGGAATTTCCAGTCTACTAAACAAAAGATTAAAGTAGAATAGGTGTTAACTTGAAAATTACCACTACATGACATGACATCACAAGGTGGAACAGAGCATTTTCAGCTTTGGAAATGCAGCCTGACTAATAATGCAGGATTACTCAAACATGTGTCAATGAAAAAACAAAACAAAACACAAGTTCAGGTATGTTTTTAACGAGGTATCAACATTCTAACATGGCTTAAAGCTCACAAGGACAAAGACAACTTATTACTTTATTACTTTGTTTTAATAATAATATTTAAAAAAAGCTCTCAAGAGTCAATTATGTGCAATATAGGACCTTTAAGGTGCATGTAAGTAGGAATCAGCTATTAAGTGATCAAATTTGGATGCATGGTTATCAACATGCAGAAATAATAAGCCATTAACATTGGTTCTGAACCTGGATAAAAGGTGTGTAACAGCTAAATACCACCAATAACAGGAATGGAAACACTGGTTGATTAATTGATATTTGTACAATATATCTCAGAATATGTTAAAATAATCACCAAAGTGAAACCGAGACTCCTTATAGAATGAAGAATTGTGTGTGTAGTACAAGATATAACTAGTCTGAGATAGTAGCTAAATTTTAGATCTATTCTTGCAGCCACCCCCTAACACAATCACTCATTTAAATTAGAAACTCTCTAAGGTCTGTAGATACAGGCTTTTTGACTAATCCACAGAAATGTCCTGCTTCCACAATTTAAGTCTTTGACAAACACTCCTGACACTTTAAGACTCCCCAAAATCAATAGAAACAATCAATGGGGAGATGTGACAGAGTGAAAATTAGCCTGAGAGCTGAGCCAGGCGCTGGAGCACAGTAATTGGTTTGAGTGGAGTGTCACTGTGGAGCCTGGGCACAAGTCTCGTCTCTGTGGCTTTAAATTGGCAGCTGTCTTGTGACTTCAGGAACACCTCATTTCCACTGGTCCCTTTGGGTAAAATCTGGTCCGAACTCACAAATCCGAGATGCACTGCTCTCAAAAACTCGACATTCCCCGAGGAGAGGGAGCCGGCATCTGCTCCTCATCTAACTATGACAGTGGAGTAATGATTCTTTGTTCAACAACGCTAATGGTTTTGTCAGGACTACAATGTAAACATGGCTCTAGGTAGGAATGATCTATGTAAATGATGGCCAATTACATCAAATACAAATCTGTGCATATATTCTGTTGCTATACTTTCAGATCAGATTTTAAAAAGTGAACTATGTCACTTTTCTCAAACACAAACATCATTGGTTGAGTGATTCGATCCACTGACTCACAGGTTGGTGGTGCAATTCCAGCTCCCACAGATGATGCTATTGTTGTGTCCTTGGGCAAGACACTTAACTCACCTAATCCAAACCCAGTGTATGTGTATACTGGTGAATAAATTAATTTAATGAATTGAAGGTGAATAAGCACTATATAAAAATGTCAATTACTGTATATATATTTAAAAAGACAATGCATGGACACAAGATAGTGGCATCTCAAAAGCTACGTAATAGACCTTTATTAGCATATGTATGACAGTAGCTTCTTGGTAGGCCTTTCGAAGCAAATATTTTTTAAGTAATTTAAGTTCACAGTACAAAGCTTAACCACTAAAAATGAAGAACCAGAGGTACCATCAACATAAACACTGAACCTATATTGTTACTATGAAGACTATTTGGACCTCTTTAAAATTTTGCTTTTAAAGTGTAGTAAAACTGTGTTTCTAATGTGCACTTTCTAAGAAGAGTAACATCACAAATGCCCTTTTTAATAATGGCGTGCAGTTGCTTTATTTGGATCCTCTCGGCAGCACAGACAGGTGTGACAGTGAAACAGGTTGTTAGCAAAAGAGCACTCGTGTCTGTCAGATAGTGCTGCTCTAAATGAGGCTCTTACACACTGGGAGATATAAATGTGCAAGGTCTTTCTTCAGCTTCTCTTTTCTATTTGTAGAGAGAGAGCGGCTTTTCTAACAATTCAACTTCAAGGTTTTCCAGAGTGGAGACTGGTTTATTTGAGTTTGCTCCCCACAAGAGAGAAACACTGAAGTAAAAATAAATGTCAATGGATTTGTTCTCAGAATGTTGCTTGAACAAGAATATTATGATCATCAAACTATGAATAATTGTGGTTTCCAAACTATGGAAAAATCACAAGAAATGTTAACTGTGCTTGCGTCTGTTTCATATTTTTTACATCAAAGCTTTGGACTGGTCATCAAAAGCCTCAAAGGAGACGTGACTGGGAGTTTCAGAACTATTGCTTTGTGCAAACCATAAACCTGGTACTTTAATGATGTGTCCTTGGGCAAGACACTGTAATCTGCTTACCTGTATGAATGTTTCTATGGTGAATTAAGGGTCTTTGTTGATTTGAGTTGATGGTCATGTTCAGCCCTCGCTATATGAGCTGAATATAACTAGACAGACAACTAAACTTCTTCTTGACATCAAGACTGTGAAGATGTTACCTCGTTGTTCAAGGGTTTATTGAGTGGGAAGAAAAGGTGAAACTGAAAAAGATGTGGAAAATACATCACAATGTGCACCTTTAACATGTACACAACAAGGAATGCAAAATGGATGCAGCATGTCCCAATCACAAATTGACTGTATATCGCTACGACACAACATTTTTTAGCTTTTTATAATATTTGTTACTACAAATGAAAGGCACCGTGTTGTCACATGAAACCAAACATACAATTGTACCCTAAAAACCCCCTTCCACCTTCACATGAACCAAAATGGCTACAGAGCAATTCAACATGGTAGCAACAACAATACGGCATAATTAATTTGGAGCTCCCCTTTCCAACCCAATACTCTTCGATTTTCCATCAAATAATCATATACTAATTAAGATATTATATCAAATAAACAGTACATACCCACAATGCTACCAAAGGCTTAAAATCTATGTAGATGTGTCTGGATTAACATGGATGAAAACAACACCCCTCAGAACCATGCTTTTCCTGAACTTCCTGATTTTAGTGTCACATGACTTATTGATACAACTATTCCTTTCTTAAAGGAGTGACAACACAAGAAACAAAATAGTAATTAGAGGTCTCAAGTGAAAAAAATCTAAAACAACACAAGTAGCCCTAGTGTTATGCTGCTCAGGTTTTTTGATTCAACCACCTTTATTTATGTAAGCTTTGGACAAAAACTCATAAGACCTCGCTTCTGACCCTGTGTCTAGATCAACCCAAATACTTTTTACAATACTCTTAAAGTGTCTATTGTAAATATAAATTAAAGTTTTGCACATATCAAGAAGCAATTTGCCAAGAAAAGTTGAAAATATGTGTTGAAAATTACAAGAAAATTACATTATGGAGAATTCTATCCAAACATTTGGCACAATTTACAAGCAGACACATTTTTTTTCTCATATTATAAACATGAATTCAACAAAATAAAGGTGTTTTCTTAAATTTATCAGCTAATTATTTGTGTGTACATTAGAGGAGTTTTGATATAGGTAACAGTTATGGATTTTCCAAGTGTGATGTCATGATTTAACCAGTAAGAAAAATGTTAAACCTAAAAAATTGTCAGATTGGGAAAACGAATTTGGATGTTTTACTACAAATCTTAACTGTTAACTGTTTTAGTGAAATGAGTAGTCCAACCTGTCATAGGCAGTTAAACAGTCTTAGTAACAGTATCTCTTCTTGCAGGTGAATGGCCGTGACTTTTCCAAGGTTGACCATGAGGGGGCGGTGGTGGAGGCCCTCAGGAGAGACCCCATCGTCGTGCAGGTTTTGCGACGCCCCCCGTCCCACTCCTCTGTCCCGCTGTCCCGCTCAGGCTCCCCTCCGGACGTGTGCGTGGTGGACCGCTGCACGCAGACTGACATCACCTTTGAACACATCATGGCTCTGGCCAAACTGAGACCTGCCACCCCACCTGTCCCCGACATCTGTCCGTTCCTGCTGTCTGACAGGTGAGGGCAGAGGCGTGCTTTAAACCTGCATGGCAATTTGCACTCATTATGCATGTCTTTGATTCAAGGTTATCTTTTATATAGATTTTTTTCACTATACAGTTCTGCCAAGACAAGGTTAGCAGAGCAGTATCTAAGTCCTAAACTTAAAGGTGCACTGTGTAATATGTCTGCTGGAGGGTCTGTCACCTAGCCTAATTTATCGGCCAGTTTCACTTTGTGAAAATGGTCTGACCTCGCAACATTAGGATTCATTCGCTCGACGGCAAGTACTTTTGTAATTTAAGCAATCGCTGCTATTTGGTCATGATGTATGTAATGTGCCACTAATGGGGCTAACTGGTATATTAACCTTTTCCCAAAACTGTAGGAAGAAGGGCAATAATGTCTTTCCCCTTGATAAAATTCACCAAACACTTTCTTCGATCTCGGGAATCTTTGCCAACATACATGGCATGTACAGCTCTTCGCTGATTGACTGTTTCCAAGGTTCTTGCAAACCGTCTAGTGTATTCCAATTGCTGACCTAGTCGGTGGAGAGAAATTAAATTGAGAGGAGGCACTAGGTGGCGCCAGCCTGACTAGAAAAGTTACACAGTGCAATTTAAAACTAAAATATGTGTACTTAAATTTAACCCTTAATCTAATGAATGAATGAGTGAACTAAAACATTGTCAGAAATAAACACTGCAAGTGGCTGTAGTGTGGCACAGTTGAGTTGGGAAAAATTTGAACTTCTATATTGCTGTTTCAGATTGTTTGAGGGTTTTGACACTGTTTTGTGAATTTACCTTTTAATCATACATGGAATCAATGGTAATCTGGTTTAATCTCTCATGTGGGAGTATGACATAATAATAATAATAGCGCCTAACAAATTGGTATAGTTGTTAAGTAAATTATAAAGCAAGATATATACTGAACTGGTGTGAATACAACACAAGATGATGAAATTACATTATTGAACATAGTATAAGTACAAATTTGGATGTTCTTCATCAATAATTATTGTAGTAATACTAAAACCACCACTAAAGACTTATATTCTCTAATCTTATGATAAAGGAACTACCTGACAACTTGCTCAATTAAAACTGTAAAACTGTAGAAATAAAACTAATGCAATACAGTTAATAAGCTAAACTTTTGTTTACATTTGCATATATAGATTTTGGAAATGTATAGTAAATAAGAGTATGCTAGTTGTTTTCCCAATCCAAATTTAATCAAGTTCTATCAATTTCTATCTGAACCGGAGGCTTCCTTTGGGCTAGTGCACTAGTCTTTTAGATTCCCATTGTGTTGTAGCATGTCCTCAGACGTCATTATGCAGTGCCAAAGTGGTATGCAGTAATTGCTCTTGCGTTCTACATCCATTTACTGTAATGGGAGTTTTTGCTGGCCGATTAAAAGCCAATGGTCTGATGGAGCAGGCATTCTGGCGCTAGTTCCATTGTACAGCTATTTATAGGCCTTTGTTAGCCAGCACATGAAATCAATTAGTCTTACAAAGCTACCAGTTTAGAGATTATAGAGAGACACTTATAGCGTGGGATGATTTATTAAGGTAATGCTGTGTATCGGAGTGCATATATTTCAATTGGGGAAGTTTTGTTTCAAAGTTAAAGTGGTGTTAATATACATTCTAATTATTTCTTTCTGTATTTTTCATCTTTAGCTGCCATTCAATCCACACAATGGAGCACGAGTTTTATGAATGTCCCGAATACATCTCCAGTACACCAGGGGATGGAGACCGGACAGAAGAATACATATATGAGGTACGTGGCAAGTGTAATTGTTAATTTATCTAGTCTTACGTAAACGTTTGTCATCTCGGTTTCAGTTTAAATTAATAAATATATGAAGGTAAAATTGGTAGTGTAGTATTGGTTCACAGTGGCATTGCACTTAGGCATTGTGCTTTTGAGAAATACATTTGGTGCAACTGGGAATACATGAATGTATCAGTGTTTAAAGATTATGTTAAATCGACTGTTCTGAGTTTTTAAAGATCAAAGTTGTATTTGGAGTGATTTGCGCATGTTTGAGCAATTATTAATCCCTGATTTTCAAGACGCCATTTTGCTGATTAACCCCTTTCTCTGGCACTGACATACATTTTGTATGAACAGATTCTACAGTGTTGCGTAGTCTCTCTAGCTTGATGAGCACTTATCCATCAGAGGTGCTAACAATGTCACAGTTCTTTGTTGTGATGATGTCTAAGGTGACATCAGCCCCCACTGGGAGCTCAAGTTTTCTAATGCAGGGGTCAGCAGATTTTTTGTTAAATTGTGCTTTAAAATGTCAAAATTATAATATAATGACCCCGGGCCACTGGTGTCATAAATTATAATCATATAGCAGACACAAACACAATATATCGTATTTAAGATGCCTTCTTCCATTATACCTACAATAAATGAAACAGTTGTGGATTAGTGCTGGGGTAGCGTAGCCAGGCTTGCCACCTAGTCCCTCCACTCAATTTCATTTCTCTAAAGGGACTAAGTCAGGAATCGGAATACACTAGACGGTTTGCAAGATCCTCAGAAGTTGTAGACTGTGCACCGACCAATCGGTAAAGAGCTGTGAAGCCATGATGTCAAACTCAAGGTCCTGTCTGGGACCCTTTTGTGGTACAGCACAACAGTAAACAAAGCGGTCGAGATGGATGTAGATGAAGCCATGCATTCTGTGTTGGCAACGATTCCCAATATCGAGGATTTAAAGCAGGATTTGGTGCATTACATATGTCACGACCAAATAGCAGCAATAAAAATAAAAAAAGTACCCGCCTTCCATCGAATGAATGAAGTGAAACCGGCTGATGAATCAGGCTAGGGGTACCTAACTACTTCTTGTAAATGAGTTAATTTATTTTTTCACTCATCAGTTATACACTAAACACAGTACTATGTGAGAAACCCAGAGTACAGCACACTGCATCTAATTGTGAAACATTGTGATCATTTGTAGACCAGAAAGAACTGTGTGCTTTACTATATCATTCTTTTGTGAGTTTGTGTTGGACATACTATAGATCCAAAACTCCATACATGTGAATATAATATAATATAATATAATATAATATAATATATATATAACTAAATTATATATATAATATAAATACATATAATATAACTATGTGTCAAAGTGTTTGTGGAAGCTGGCCATGAGTTACTTACTTTCTCCTTGGCTTGTATTACATTTTCATTAAAAATGTCTAGTATCTGTATTATTAGTAATTCATAATGGGTTTAAGGATAGGCTTTATATTGAATGTATGGTACTGAGAAGTGCTAGTGGAAGTGGAAAAACACAAGAGAAACATTTGTGAGTGATTGCACTATTCTTTAGAAAGCTAGTGGGGCATGGCTTGGTATATTTGGGCTTTGGTACATTTTTTCCACTCTATTCAGAATCTCTCCTTCGGGATAATCCAAGGCCAGTTTGATAGATGGTACTCAGGAGTCCTTCACCAACAATACTATTCCCTATCTACACAATACAAGAGAATTGGCTGAGCTCTTTAGAAAGTGGGCTGCATGTCTCTGTCTGTTGTTCCAGTGCACCGCAGAGACCCTGGGTTTAATAAAGACAACCACTTTTGTAAAATACTATCAAAAGAACATACAACTTGGGAAGGGTTTTGTATAGAATTGTGGCTAAGTTTCAAGTTTCATTCTTGTCAGTCTATTCAAACTTTTTAGTAGTTAGTAGTGTGGATATACTTGAGTAGATTTATACATTCATTGGGAATTCAAGAACAATGGCAAACAAAAGAAGCATGTTTGTGGCCAGCTACACAATAATATTCTCAGGGAAATGTGCAGGAGGTGGGGGACAGGAGGGTCCTGACTAAGATCACCTCTATGCTGGGCCATGAGTCTCACCCCCTGCAGGACGCTCTGTCTGCTCTGGAGAGCAGCTTCAGTGACAGACTGATTCACCCTCGCTGTGTGAAGGAGAGGTTTCGCAGGTCTTTCCTTCCTGCTGCTGTCAGACTTTACAACAAACACTGTTAACACTGAACATGTGCCAGTCAATTATATCCATGTGAAATTATTTTAAGTCTATTTTTAAATTATTTTTAAGCTATTATTTATTATCTGTGTTACCTTTTCCTGCTGTTCTGAAATTGCGCGTTGCAACACAGGAATTTCCCCACTGTGGGACTAATAAAGGCATATCTTATCTTATCTTATGTATAAGAGGCTCAAGTGGATTTAGCTGTGAAGATAAAGCAGCCTTTGAGAGCTACTATATAAACAGATAATAAGGCAAAAATAATAAGATATATAAAATAAGATGTTATTTTTCACTCTGTATCACCTTAAAGGGCCCATATTACTGATCATTTCTGATTTCTGTGTTACAGTGTTGTTTCCTCATCACAAACATCCCTGGAGTTGTGTTTTGTTTCATTCACACATGTTTAACACATAAATTCTGCATATTTAGGCTTTTAATTCTTCTCTCAAACAAAAAAAAAACACTCTGTTCTACCTTGTGATGTCATGTGATAATACAGGAAGTGCACCACTGTGTTTTTAAACTCCATAAACCCAGTCATTTGGATAATTTCACCTCTGGAATTGCGAATCTCTACTGAACAAAAGATAAAACATAGCTGTTCATTTGAAAACTACCCATTCATAACATCAAAATATGGAACCATAGACTGTATAAAAAAGTGGACCAAGCAAGTATGATGTCACCCATAGCGTTCACCAACACTCAAATGAAGCTTGTGATGCTAACGGCCAGGCTCTATATTATGAATAGGATTTTTTGACTGACTATAATAGGGGAAAAAAACTCTAGGATCATGTAGATTTTAAGACCAAATGACAGGGCTCACTGCAGCAGTCACAGAGAGAGGGGTGACAACATTCTAATGTAAATTCAGGCTTGAACTGGTAATCTGTACTACCAGGAAAATGCCCGGTGGGCTGTTCCACCTCAGACCACAGTGCGGTAATCTGAGGGGCCCCATGACCATTTATATAAAGTCTATGGGTGGAACTGAGCATTTTGAGCTATGGCTATGTAGACAGATTAAAAATAAAGGGTTACTCAAACATGTGTGAATGAAACAAAACACAACTCCAGGTATGTTTTTGATGAGGTTACATTATTATAACATGGCTTAAAGCTCACAAGGATATATTTTGTGTAACATATAACTTTTAAGACAAAAGCCAGTCAGTAATGGTAATTTAAATGCGTAAAAGAAATAACATATTCACAGACCAGCAAAGATGATTAGCAAAAAGTTTTTGGGTTGGATTTCTCTGTCCAAAGGCATGCATGTTTAGATAAATAATAAAGCCAGTTCAGCAGTATACACAACATTTTATAGGCCAGTAATACTGAATGTTGATGGGTACAGCTAAAATGAATGTTGTTAAATTAATAGTTTTGCTTTTTGTCATATGGTGAGATCTAGGTATGATAATAGAAATGATCAAAACATGTTCATTTACTTTTTGAACATTTCTTATGAAAATACCATGTAATCAATAGGGAAATTGGGTTCTTGCCATGTGTAAACTGTATAATTATCAACAGCTTATCAACTACAGCTCTGATGCTCTAACATAAACTCTCAAATCTGCTGTTAATGTTCTTTTTTCTCAAGGCTTTCAGATATTTGTATATGCTAACTACTAGTACACAAACACATTTTATTCCTTATGTGTCAGTCTGTGTCTTGACACATGCATCAAGGTGACACAGTGGACCTCGGGGTCATTTTTAGTGACAGTAATGGACAGCGTATGCTACAGTTGGTGATCTCCTGTGGTTTAATAGGCACTTCCTGGTTCACTGGGCCGCGTTGCGAGTCATTAGGATGCCTCTGTTGCCAGCTGTGGTCCGCTGAACTAAACCGGTCTAAAATGAAAAAAGTCCCTGGCGTATCAAAGAGGTGGATGTGTGTCTTGTATGAGTTGTAATAGCAGTACTATATGAGAACAAAGTCATGGTCCCTACCCCCACCTGGCAACCCTGCACCCTTACCTCTGCCTATCCGAGTGTAACATCAATGCTTTTCTTCAAGGATGAAACGGAATAAGGCTGCTATTCACGGGAACATTAATTTTGACTGACAGGATGTGCGCTCGTATTATAACTGCCATGTCAAACCTGTCACAAACATCACAGCTGCAAATTATAGAATGGACTTTAAAGGTAAATGTTATCAAATGTTTTCAGTTGGATTGATTGACGCTTCTTTTATGAATTGACATGAGATTGAAATGGATCGATAATAATGATCAACTGGAAGATTGTATAGATATAGATTTTTTCTTTCAAAATCGTAACAATGAAAATTCTATATGAAAACTTTAACAATAAAACATAGATTTTCTCACCTTTTATCATTTTGTGCAGAAGACGCTAGGATAAATTGTAGTTTCTAATTGGAGATTGACTGGCAACAATTCATACTCACAAATTTGTATTGACCATTCACCCATAGAAATGTCCAGTGCGTTGACATTTTATTTTAAATGTAATTGATTTTGCCATAGAAAACTGTTTTGCCAATATTTCTGCACCTATATTGCAACTCCAATCCCACATGTGTCTTCAGTGGGAACAAGCTTGCATTGTTCAAATAGAGATCTTTTCCAGACACTCAAAGTGCTGTATAGTGCATTATTTATTCACTCAGTACTCATTGGTGGTAAGTTATTATTGTAGCCACAGCGGCCCTGGAGTAAACTGACAAAAACAAGGCTACCAATCTGCACCATCAGCCCTTCCAACCACCACCTAACGCTCATACTGTACATCATATTAATGGACAGCAAGGTGAGTGAAGTGTCTCGCCAAAGAACACAACAACAAATTCTCAAGTATGGCCATTTGAGAGAACCAAAAAATAAATACAGTTACAAAATACATACATAAAAATAGCATTGCTGGTTTTTAGATGGCATCACAATGCTCTTTTGGCCAATAATATGGTCAATAATATTTAATACAGATGGAAGCAGCTAAATAGCCAGGCTGGCTAGGTCAGACTAGACTGACCTAGTCTCCAGCGACTAGGTCAGGAATCGGAATACACTAGACGGTTTGCAAGAACCCCAGAAGCTGTAGACTTCCCTTCTGGGTCCCTTTTATGGTACAGCACAACAGTAAACAAAGCGGTCAAGATGGATGTAGACGAAGTCATTGTCTTCTTATGTATTTCAACTTCTTGGGTTCTTTTTAAAGACCATACAGTAAAGTGTATTTATCTTGTTGAAATGTTTCGGCTGCTAGCTGCAAGCCATCTTCAGAACTGTTCTTCAGAACTGTTCTGAAGATGGTTCCCGAAGCATGTCAGCAAGGTAAATACACTTTACTGTATTGTCTTTAAAAAAGAACCTATGAAGTTGAAGCCATACATTCTGTGTTGGCAATGATTCCCGAGATCAAGGATTTTCACTCTTTGCTTTGTTTACTGTTATGCCGGCAATTACTTGGACAGCACTGAGCGTTCCAGCGCATTATATACATCACAACCAAATAGCAGTGATTGGTTAAATAAAAAACTACCTGTCTACCGTTGAGCAAATGAATCCTAATGTTGCAAGGTCAAACGGTTTCCACAAAGTGAAACCAGCTGATGAATCAGGTTAGCAGCTAAAAATAATATTGTTAAAATGTTTCTTTTGTTGTAATACAGTGAGTTCTTGGGTCTAGTCACTAATGTAAACGATCAGGTTTAACATCTGTCTGTTTACCTTATGGATATTTGAATGGATATATATAAGTACAATGTCAAAAATACAAAAATATAAATACTGGCTCTTGTCCCTCATCTGAGAGTATCCCCATTATCACATTTATCACATAAAATCTGAAAACCATCAATTGCTAAAGTTTTCTATATAACTGTGACTGTATTCTTTAATTTATTCTCTCTGTTGCCCACCTGTAATGTACTTACCAGCTTTACGCTTAATGGTCATAATCTTATTTCATTCCTTGCAAAAGGTTTCCATGACATTCACAGAACAAAGCCTGAGTCCTGTTCCTTACGAGACTATATTCCCTTCATGCGCTCATTTGTGTGAAAAATGTTAAACAACCAACAATGAATGCACAGCAGCGGTCCATTTCAAGGACTATTTGCGTGAAAAACTGACAGCTGAAAGGACCTCATCATGGCCAATGTGGAGACAATGAGCCAGCGAACATTAGCTTTAGCATCAATTTGTTTTGGAACCTACCTCATTACAATGCTAGCAACAGATGTTCAATGTTCAATGAAAGGTGGAACAGCTCCCATTTTCAATACATTCTCATACAGTGTGCACTTAAATCGGTCAACGTACTCTAAATAATGAGACCGCTTTGTTGTAATGCATACTAAAATCTATTAAAGGATTTTGACATGGTTCTATTGGTATATCATTTAACGCCCACTGTGCCAAATTATGACCCAATTATAAGTAAATGGAGGCTCTCTACAGTGGCACTGCATCTGGAAATCATTAGGATTCACATTATCATCATCAGACAGAGCCAAAATTAAGCTGCAGCTCCAAACAATCAGGATATTAACATGGAGGAAGAGTTTCTGATGGAGGGTCCAGAAACCTGTCTATCTCCATGGATATGTCATTGCTTTCCCTGGAATACTCCATGGTATGACATAAACATTAGCCACGCTGGTGCCACCTAGTGCCACCTCTCAATTTCATTTCTCTCCAGCGACTAGATCAGGAATCAGAATACACTAGACGGTTTGCAAGAATCCCGGAAGTTGTAGACTGCGCACCAGCCAATCAGCAAAGAGCTGTGAAGCCATGACATCAAACTCATGCTCCTGTCTGGGTCCTTTTGTGATACAGCACAACAGGAAACAACACGGTCGAGATGGATGTAGACGAAGCCATACATTGTGTTGGCAACAATTCCAGAGATCGAGGATTTAAAGCCAGAACAAAGAGAATGGTGAATTTTATAAGACATTAATGCCCTTCTTCCTATAAATAAACCTATAAAAACAGGCATTCTGACACTGACCTGGACTCGCTCTTCCACAGACTTCACCTGTAACTTGGTCTGGTTTTGTCTCTACGATGACAGAAAGATTTAATACTACACAGTGGAACATTCCAGACAAAGCATTAAAGGGACAGTTTGGAATTTGGACACATTTCCTAGTGAGCCAGAGTGTTGGAGACGTGTGGAGATACTTTTTTAAAATTTTCCATCCAGTCCTTGTATTTGTAGAGGTCGCTGATGCTAGGCTAGTGCATCTCAATGTCTGTGTCAATAAAATAATCTTAGAAGTAAAACCAATGTTGCATTTGAAGGATTTATGTCTGAGCAGCAGCGAGTTGTACTTCCTGATAGAAAGTGTGGCAACGTGGATTGATATATGAGAAAATAGTCCCTCAACATGCAACGATTTATGAGATGCAAAGTTAGTTTTATTTCAGACATTATTCTATCAACACAGACATTTATGTCATTAGTCTGGTGTAATAATAGATTTGCTTCGGGTGTTTTGTGGAGTGGGTAAGACTGTTTTTAACGGCAGGCTAACTATGGCCATTGACATGCATTGGCCTAGCACCAGTGACCTCTGCAAATACAAGGACTGGATGGAATATTTATAAATTTCTCCACATGTCTCCAACACTCTGGCTCACTAGGAAATGAGGCCCTATGTCCAAAATTCTGAATTGTCCCTTTAACATCTCCATGGAGAAAAACATTTGACGGACCATTCACCAGAAAATTTACATAATACACTGTTAATAGTAAAACGAGTAGTCTAACCATGTCATAGGCACTTTAATCCATACACTATGCAAAAACCTGGTAACTGAGATTAACAAAACAATATTATGGACCACAGCTTTGAAGGTCAGGGTTGTCTGCGCATGGGGTTGAAATGCCATAGAAATTAATTACTTCCCCTGTCAGTCTCTACTATCAGGTCTACCCCATGGAAAGGCAGGTTGGGCTGGGTCCCCCCCTTCCCTCCCAACTTCACAGCAATGAAATGAATTTAACTGCATGGGGTTAATAAGGATTACCACACAGTAGAGTTATCTTAGTGTGATTACATTAGTACACAGCGGAGATGAAAAGGAAGCAGCAGTGGTGGTGGTGGGATCAGGCTAAATTTGAAGGCATTTCCTATGGGAGGGGGGAGGGGGTGTTGAGGAAAAGGTTGGGTTCACGTGACAGAGTTTAAAGAGGAGCAGAGGAGCTGGTGAGGATTCCATAGTGCAGTTTGCCTTTTTAATTGTCAATGTGAAGATTGTTTGACCTGGTTCATGGTTAATATCTCCGCAATTACTGAGTCTATCCGCATGAGACCAAAACTGGCACCAAACTCAATGTCTGCTGCCATAAAGCGCTCCAAAAAGATGTGTTATTAGTCAGTTACAAAGAATGGCTGTTGGCAGATGAAACTAGAGCATAAGACACATGATTAAAAATGTATTTAAAGGTGGACTGTGTAACTTTTTGGTTGGGAGTCTGTTTCTATGGATATACTGTACTGTGTACTGTGGTCCAGGCTTTTTTTTTGTTTTGTTGATTGCTGAAACTTTATTTAAAAATAAAAAAAAAAGCTTTTGGACATCTGCCATCTGAGTGTGCGATTCATTTTTTCACTTATATCTTGCTGCTCCTTGCATTTGCACCTCTACAAGAATTTTGGTGTGCATTTTCTGTTTCTTTTGTTTCTATGGATATGTCACTACTCTGTCTGGAATGTTCCGCAGTGTGACATTAAACAGCTCTACCTTACATTTATTCAACTACAGGTGGTTTCACTGCTCAGAAATACCTAGAAAAACAGGCATTCTGACAGTGAGCGGGATTGCCTCTCCACTGATCTGACTTGTAGCTTGGTCTGGTTTGGTCTCCATGGAGATAGTAAGGTTTAATAGCATACTGTGAAACATTCCAGACAAAGCAATAACATCTTCATGAGGAAAAGCATTTTATTACACAATGCACCTTTAAAAAGACCAAAAATATTATTCAGGTTTTTTTTTTTTCTTTTTAAATGCCATTTGTACATAATTGAAGAGCACCTCATTTTTAGGTTCTGCATTTTCCCAGAAGCACCCTCAAGTATTGTTTTTATTCAAACACAGTGAATTCCCCACAGAGCTATATTGGCCCTCTTATTTCTCAGACCAATTATTTTTATTGCCGTGAGCCTGCATAAGACCAAAATAGTTGGACTGTCATCGCTATATTTAACACGTTTCTAACTTGATATTTACAGAGCACGAAATTGTCATAACAGAAGCTTAATTCGCTTGAAAACTAAACTAAATGTAGAAATGTTTTGTTTGTGTTGACCAGGAGGTGGAGCTGTGTCGGCAGAACAGTCTGGAGAAGCTGGGGCTGACGCTGTGCTACCGGACTGATGACGAAGAGGACATGGCCATTTACGTGAGCCAGGTAATGTTAACTAAAATCTGTATACACACTCTTCATGGTGACTTACCTGCTTTATTTGGACAAAACCTTTATTATTAGATCTATGTAACTATGTAACTTTTCTGATCTGTTCCTGATTTTATAGTGTTGTTTCTTCATCACAAACATACCTTGTACTTTGTTTCATTCGCACATGTTTAACACACAAACCCTGAAAACACAGAGCTATAGACAAACTAATAATAAAGAGTTACTCAAACATGTATGAATGAAACAAAACTCAACTCCGGCTATGCTTTTGCTGAGGTAATAGCACTCTAATCTAAGCTCACAAGGGGCAATTTTAAGGACCTTTGGATAGATTTTAGGTTTAGACAACTAGAGACTATAGTTAAGGTTAAGATTAGACTCCAAGAAATAAATGCAAGTCAATGTAATGCCCCAAAAGCATGGAAACCCAACAAACATTAACTTAAAGGCGCACTATGTAACTTTTCTGTTGGAGTGTCCACCATTTACTTGTCTCCATGGAGATATTGTTGCCTTCCTTCAACTTAACTGTATTGCATTTATTTACAGGTGGTTTTATTGCTCAAAAATATAATTTATATTGTGAGTGGATTCACTTCCACAGATGATCCATACCTAGGCTTGACGGTGCTACCTGCGTGTTACTGTGGAGATACATAAAGTTCAAAGTTCAAAGTTAGCTTTATTGTCAATTTCTTCACATGTACCAGACATACAAAGGAATCAAAATGACATTTCTCTCTATCCCATGACATACAGACATGACAAATATCATCTCTAACCACTACAGTAACCATAGATAAATAAATAAAGCAAAAAACTAGTGTACAGTACAGTGCATTTCAAGTCAGATCAAGTATTAGCAGCAATAATAAAAACAGCAGATGGTATAGTGCAGAGCAGAGGCAGCTCACTGTGCAACATTTTAGGCAAAGCAATAACATCTCCTTGGAGACAAGCAGAAAAGTTACATTGTTTGTCTTTAATTAACTACAAAATAATAGGTCTAAATGATTACTTGAATGAAGGATTATGATAAATACTGCATCAATTTGAGGTTGAAGCCCAGTCATGTGCATCAGTAGCTTATTAAAAGATAAAATAAAATCCTATTTGAATATCATTTTTGCAAACAGACACTGATTAAAGAAGCAAGAAAGAAAACATTTACTCATTCAAAACAAATTTATCAGGCCAAAAATGAAGTCAAGTCTGAAATGCGATCCCGTTCCTCCTCTAACATGTTTTAATTGAAGCCTTTAATTAGCTCTGAGCAGCCACCATTGCGTTCACCATATGGCAAATGACACTTTCTCAGTGTACGATATCAGGCCTGAATACCAAACACTCAAAACGGAGCAGGAAGAGGCACTTTACACATTTGATTTGACTTGGAATGAACAGTCTCTCGTGTGAAGCCGCTAATGAGGAACAATGACAGAGATTTTCAAGGCACTTCCTAGAGAATGAATGGTATACTCCAGTTGTAAGTTCAAAAGCGTTACAGGCAAGTGGCAGAGGTAATGTGAATGGGGCTTTTTACTATAGGCAGTTACTGAAAATTGGGAGAGTTTTACATCCTTTATGCTGCTTTTATGTTTAAAAAGGTTCCCTACATAAAAATATAGTATGTCTTTGAAATTGCAAATAGCATATTCAGTGCAGTGAAAATTGTATTTTAAAACTGGCATAATTGCTTATTTTGTCCATATTTTTGTCCCTACCATGGATAAATGGAGATTGTGTCAGACTGAGGGCACTGCAAAAAAAAAAGGAAAATTATTCCGAGTATTAGATGTTTTGCAACTTTGGATGGTGGAGGGTTCAACATCTTATCTCCATGCATTTTCCGCAGTATTACACAATATTAAACTCTATCTCTATGGCACCAGACCAAGTTACAGGTCAGATCTCTGGAGAGACAAACCTGCTCACGGCAAGAATGCATGTTTTTTCAATGTATTTTTGTGCAATTAAAAGACAACAAATAATACAAATGAGAGATAAATAAGTTAATTACTGTACTTGGAACATTTCCAGCAAAGCAGTAACGACTCTATGGAGATGAGCAAGTAGTTTCTACCAAAAAAGTGTGTACCTTTAACAATATGTTTTATATTATCAACATAAACCTCATATTAGCTGTCATTCTACTTCTGAGTCTTAATATTAAAAGTGCATTGTGTAGCTTTTCTGGAGGAGGGTCCATCAAATGCTTTTCTCCATGGAGATGTTATTGTTTTGTCTGAAATATTTCACAGTATGGCATTAAACCTTTCTATCATCATGAAGACAAAACCAGACCAAGTTACAAGTCAGATCTCTGGAAAGGCAACACTGCTCACAGCCAGAATGCTTGTTTTTCTAAGTATTTTTGAGCAATAAAACCACCTGTAAATGAATGCAAGTAAGGTAGAGCTGCAACTGATAAGTTACACCGTGCACCTTTAAAACAAAGCATAAAACATCAACTCCTCGCACCTGACAACTCTCGAACAAATTACCAAAACAGTCGCTCACTGTCAAACGCGTCTATTTTTGTACGTGGGATAGAAATGCTAATTCCTCATTATTATGCATGTGTACAGTACAGCAGGGTTTGTAGACTCCTTTGCTTTTCATTTTTCAACAATACATTTTGATTTCTGCCCTCTGTAGCTTCCTAGTTTGATCTTCTTAGCAAAAATAACAAAGACAAAGAAATTATAGATGAGCTTTAGCAGTGTGCAATTCCACTGGGGTGCATATGAGATTTTGATTCCTCCAACTAGAATTCACGTTTCTTGAGCTATAAACAAATGTGCACTGCATTTCTGGAACTGGCCTGGTTTTTGTTGCTTCCTCTTCTTCTTCTCTCTTCAACTTAACTTCAAAATCTACAAACCATGACAAACCGCAGTCTCTCGCCTACATACGAACTAGATATTCGCAAAGCTTCCTGATACAAAACATCACATAAGAGAAAACAAAGTGGCAAAAGAAGAAACAGAATTTATAATGACGGATTTGTTTCATATTTCCGTGCAGGTGGAGCCGCACAGTCTCGCTGCCAAAGACGGACGAATCAAAGAGGGAGATCGGATTGTACAGGTAAGCATCTCCTTTATGCAGTTTGTGGTTGTTTTTTTTTTTTGTTTTTTTTTTTTTTTTTGTCTGTAAGTGAAATTTATGGCTGGATTCTTTTTCAAGGTTATTTATAAAACAGCTGAAAAATGCTGTTACATTTTATTATATTTACTGTTATGTTTTTTATACAGTTGTATTTTTTGTTCATCTATAGTTCATTGTGAGATGGCTTTTCTTCACTTGCCCTAAAATACTTGATGGTTGCCAAAACAACTTTTTGTGTAACTTTCTGGAAGTGGCACGGCACCTACATGATTCCACAGAAATATATAAGTTAAAACCATGCTTCAGATAATCCTTCATGGAGATAAATAGGTTTTATTCCATATTCTGGAAAATTATAGCTGAAGGAACGATATTCTCATGGAAACAAGCAGGTGGAGGCCAGGCAGGAGTCAGTTTTATGGAGATGCGAGCCTGTTTACTGTAGGACACATGTTTTTCAGTGCTTAAAATGCAACCAAAATGACAAAGATATACATCATGCTTTTATTTGTGTGTATTTTTTGTTGAGAAACATACATTGAAAACAAAATATAGCAGCACAGCAGGATGCAACACTGTCAAGAACAACCACATACTGGTAAGAACATAATATATGAGCATTAGTATGTGATCTTGAGCCTTTTAAGAAATATCTACAATGTGTTCTAGGGGTGGGATATGAGACACGAGATTGGGTCCAAGTGAACGAGACAAGATGAGATTTTGACTTTATTTATAATAGATAACTTGTGTGGATATTGGCCTCACTATTTTTAATTTACTTAATTTGGTATTTTTTAGGTCTTTGTAGCACCACTTTTTCGGAACTACAGCTTCTAAAGAAATGTAAATCGCCAGCACTTAGCCATTTTTTGTCCAATTCAAAATCCAAACACAGGAATACAAATCTCACAAGATTGTTTTTCTCATGTACGCACAATCTTCTGACAATTTTTTCTCACAAGATCTTGTGAAGGGTGAAGGGTGAAGGGAATTTTTTTCTTTATGGAGATGTCATTGTTTTGTCTGGAATGTTTCAAGTTACAGGTCAGATCTGTGGAGAGGCAACCCACTCACAGTCAGAATGTTTGTTTTTCTAGCTATTTTTGAGCTGAAAAAAACACATGTAATTGAATAAATGTAAGGTAGCGCTGTTTAATGTCATACTGTGGAACATTCCAGGTAGAGCAATGACATATCCGTAGAAACAAGCAGGTGATGGACCCTCCACCAGAACAGTTACACAATGCACCTTTAATTCATTCTCAGGCCTGCATCAAAATCCTAAATGCAATTTGGATGCTGTACAAAACCTCTTTATCAACCTTTCTGCTAACCGTGCATTTCTGGTTAATAAGTCCAGGGAAATCAATGATAAATACCGAGGCATTAGGCAGTTTGACACAGCTCCAACATCTCAACCCTGAACGCGATACCATTACCCCAGTGTAGTCTGAGCTATAGTCTGAGAGCGGGGCCAGCTATAGCACTGCCCCTATTATCTGCTCCTGACAGCCCCATTACTCCAGAGAGGAAAAGATGAACGCCACCTGTCCAACAACACTTAATTGTGTGTCTGGATGGAGGAGTAGATTCTCATCAAGTTTGACTCTGCAATAGTGGAGCAATACGCCCACTCGCACTCAGCCAGATGTCATGGTACAATGCAGGCAGAGGATGGAGAGGAGGAGAGAAGGAGAGAGAGAACAGTACAGGGCTAATGGTAAGAGCGGTGTTTATGTGGTTCTTGGAAAATGTAGAGAAACGTCTGCTCAAGTTTGACAAATTATGATGAATTTTTGATTAAATGTTTTAAAAGTGTCTGCAAAGTATTCAGAAGTTACTAAATTACTGCTTTCAGCTAAATAGAATTTTCAGTGTTATAGGTTGATGCTCGGATAGATGCAATTAAAGTGTTTTTAGGAAAATGTTGAGAAATTATCGCTCAGGTTTGACAGATGTGCTAGAAGTTCTGAATAACAACATCTCCATGGAGACAAGCCGATAGTGGACCCTTTGCCAGAAAATTTACATCGTGCCCCTTTATGTGCTTTGATTCTGTTGTTCTGTTGATTCTGCATCTTTCTGTTTTTCAGTCATGTTTGTTTTAATACAGGGGTGTGAAACTCAAATTCACAGAGGGACAAAATTAAAAACTAGGACTAAGTCGTGGGCCAAACTAAGTATTTATTTTTCTGTTTTCGCTTCTTTTGAGATACGTAATGTTATCTTATTAAAATAAATGTTTAATAATAGTTTTGCTTAAACAATGAATTCAGAACAAGCATCATATAAAATAATAACAAAATTTTAAATGAATAATGTCTCTATAGCTGATCTGTAGCTTTTAAACTGTTTTGTTTTTTTACACAAGCCAACAACCAGTCAAAAATAACAACTTGCATCAGTGAAAATCCAAGCTTTAGTAGATGCTAATGAGTGTCAACAGGAGTGGTGGGAGCTCTTAGCAGACTGACGGGCCAGTGCCAACGATTTGCAAAGCATTCTGGGATTCGTAGTATTAGCAGTGCATGCCTCACGCAGCAGCCGGCAGGCCAGCTCTAATACGTATTTGATATGATCTCCTCGGGCCAGATATAATTATATCGTGGGCCTGAGTCTGACGTGTCTGTTTTAATGCGTACAGACCATGGCTTATCTGATTGGTTTATCTACCTGTCAATCACGCCAAAATGAACTGGCAAAGATGAAGCCAGATATATCTTAGTATAGGCTTGCCAGGTAACAACATTTTACTCTTGAGGACACAAAGTAGAGCTATATTATTAGATACACAGAGTATTTAAGTGTATTTGTTTGGAGGATAAGCTCCTTGAGATTTCTCGCCATCTCGTTTTCAAGGAGGTCCTCAAAATGACAACAACAAAAAAGACAGATACAAAGCAAACAGTAGGACACAAAAATTCGAAATAAAACAGGAAAAAAAAACACAGCCACAAACATGCACTCACACTTAAACACAGAATAAGTAGTAATGTACGAACAAAAACTAATACAGAATTCAAATATAGTCACAAAAATAAGATAGTCAAAAACAATTACATGGGTTTGAAAATAAAAGGTTTTAAATTAATTTGAGTGGCAATGTGGTTAAAGTGTTGTACCAAAGAACAGTAGTTATGAGATATGAGATATTTCATTGTTTGATTTTTCTAACTTTCTTTTAGTTGAACAATTTTGTGAAGCCCTGCGTAGAGATCTTTTTGTTTTACAAAAATTATTTGAATTGAAAACACAGTAGAATTGAAGACTCCCAGGAACTATTTTTATACAGTAATGGTAATATTTCGTAGCTTGCAGAAACAGTCAGATAAGCACAATTTGAAAACACATATCGGGCACACTCAAACTGCTAAAGTGTCTTTTTTTTAATATATCTTCCATTGTTATTTTCAACAGATCAACGGCTGTGAAGTCCATGACAGGGAAAAGGCAGTGGCTCTATTGTCAAGTGAAGACACAAGAAGTGTCATCTTACTAGTGACAAGGCCAGAGCTGCAGGTAAGCCCACTCAAAAACACCTGTCTGCACCTGTCACGTCAAATAAAAACAGACACCTGCCATCTTCAACGTTCCGTCTTTATGGCAACACGAGAAGCTGAACACAACATAAAAACACGCCACAATGATGTGACAGACAGATGTTGTGCTTTCAGTTGGAGGAGGAGGTGTGGCTGGATGACGACCAACAAGAGCTGGTGGAGTTAAAGATGGAAATCCTGGAGCAGAGGAGAAAACACAAAGAACAAAAGTTTGACAGAAGAAAAGAGGTGAGGAGCAGGGAGCTGTCAACAATGTATGTGAGAGGAGATAGGAAATGGAAGACAAGGGAATAGACACAAACCAATATAGAAGATGGGTGAGAAGATGTCAGCTATTTTGACAGGAGCATCGCAGTGTTTTGTTAATGGAGAAGTACAGCAAGCTTGGGGGAAAATGAAAGAGAAATACCAGAGTCAATGTACCATAACATTGCAAATAAAGTGGGACAAACACTGAATCAACTTTTCACTACTAAGCTGTGTATATGGTGTTTTAATAGCCTTCTCTATACAGTTCTTATTCAATTTTTTGCCATTTTAGTCCAAAGTAGGTTAAATTACAGTTGTGTCATCTAAATCGCGACTCTCAGGTGGGTCGCAAGAGATTTTTTTGGGGTTGCCTTGTCATAATGTCATGTAGGTCTACAATATACATATACGTACATCTCTACATACCCCCCCACTCCTCACTTTTTCGGCAGCACCGTCTTGCCTAAACAATTTTCTGTGGGAAACACTTACTACAGTTTCTCCACCATATTTTTCGGACTACAAGGCACACTTAAAATCCCTTAATTTTCTGAAAAATTGGTAGTGCGCTTTATAATCCGGTGCGCCTTATGTATTAATTCTGGTTGTGCTTACTGATCGCGAACTGATTTTCACATATATTCTACTAAGTTATGTTCTTTAGTCCAACAGAAGCTGACCACATCAGGGCACAAGGAGCGAGCACAAATGTGCGCAAAGCTGCATTAAACACATTATTACTCAATCTGTTGTTCAGTCCTCCTCGTAGGAAATAGAAAAGGCTCAAATCTCAAGTGCCGTCCGTTTGTTTCGCTCAATGCGCCTTACAATCCGGTGAGCCTTATGTATGAAAATAGATGAAAGAATTCAACATTATTGATATTGCGCCTCATATTCTGGTGTGCCTTATAGCTAGAAAAATACGGTAATACTAATTGTTCAAAGAGAAACAATCACTCAGTCAACAATAAAATATCCTCATTAATGTTCAATAATAGTCACAAATTTATTTTGTGATTTAAAAATAATGTCTACTGACTTGAGTGGTGAAGGTTTATGACTTTTAAAATATGGGTCCCCAGAAAAACAAAAAAAATTGGGAAACGCTAGTCTAAATCAATCAAAAAAGTGTGCTGCCATCTATGGTTAAACCCTGTCACTGCATTATGAGAGACTTACAATACCAGACGCCTTCTTTCTCATGACAGACACATTCCTGCAGGGGCGTTTGAAGCACAAGTTGGTCCAGACCCTGCCTCCCTACCCTCTCACTAGATAGATATATAAACACTTTATTGATCTCCAAAAAGGGGAACAATAAATCATCTATCTTTCTAGTGTTTCTAGTGACTCTTCCCTTTAGTCTTCCAGACCCCACCCCCACCTCCCCCAATGTTCCGTTTAGGCCTCCAGACCCCCCTCCTCCAAGCACTGCCCAGTTTATCAGGTTATTGTGCTCTGCCTGTGAGTGGAGTTTAGGTGTTTAGTCCCACTTTAATGCTTAATTGGTTGATTAGGGAACTGCAAAGTAAGTGTTGCAGTGGTATTGATATTGAACTGTGTCTTTAAAGTATTGACTGGGACTATTTACCTTAATGTAGCTAAACAGTACAGTAATGTGACAGTATGTGCTTGTGTTTTCTTAGCTTCAACTTGAGGAGGGGATGACCACAGACACAGCCACCTGCTCATCCAACAACCAGGACAGCGGGTTCGGGCATGGCACGGACAGCCCCGATCACCAGCCTCTTTTGTCCAGAATACAGAAGAAAAGTCCTGCTCAGTGTTTACGAGAACGATGGCTGGCTGATCATCCGCACAATAAACCTCCAAAGACGCAAACGAAAACACAAGACAATGGTAACAGCCCGATGCTAGGTTTGGAAAATCGCTTTCAGCAACTTTTAGAGCTGAAATGCCAGATTCGTAACGGTGTGGAGTGCGGGGTGTACTCAATAAGACACAGCATCGAATGTAGTTTGACGGAACAGAGCGCTGGCGATGAAGATGGCGTGAACAGTGGAGAGAGTGAAGGAGGAGTGGAGCATGAGCTACGGATGCTAAACGAAGAGCTAAGAAGTATTGAGTTGGAGTGTCAAAGTATAATGCAAGCACACCAGCTACGCCAGTCCAGCCAACCTACACAAACTGCATCTCCAGGTCGAAGAAGCCCCAAAGACGGACTCCAGCGCCACGGGAGACTGGCTGACATCCACGAACATCCTGAAAGATCAGATAACGAGAGGAAAAAGGACAGTTCCAGTGCCTACAATACAGCGGACAGTGCGAGATCAACGCCTTTAGGAATAGAGAAATCACCTGAGCATTCCTTACAGAGACAGATCAGCCTCACTAACCAGAAAAACCTCAGTTCATCAACATCGTCAAGCCCCATTCCCATCCCCAAATTCCACGGAACGCCCAGTCGGAGTAAACCAGCAGATCCAGGAATGGTTATATCTAGCAGTCCGGACCAGAGCAACCCGTCCAGATCTGAGTCAGACCCAGCGTTACCTGCGGATGACGAGAGGTGTGAGAAGAAAGGGAGGAGGGAGAGGAGGGGGCTGCCTTACCCATCAGCATATCAAACTAGTCCCTACCACTGTCAAGGAGGATCCAGACAGCTGCAGGTGGGTGGGCTTACTGACCACAACAGAATGACAAAAATCCATATTTGACCTCACCAAGTCACTGATTCAGGTTAGCTAGTGTGGAAAACGGCTTAGTGGGTAGCAGTACATTTAGCCAGATGATAATTTGCTTATTTATCAGCATTTGTAAATTATGCCTTGATCGTAGTTTTTGTCTATGGCTTCCCTTAAATGTCCAATATTATGCAAAATTGACTTTAAACCATGTTATAATATTGTTATCTCTTCAAAAACATACCTAGAGTTGTGTTTTGTTTCATTCACACATGTCTGAGTAATCCGGCATTAGTGTGTCTGCATCTCCAAAGCTCAAAATGCTCTGTTCCACCTTGTGTTGTCATGCTGTTAGTTTTCAAGTTAACATCTAGCTTTTACCTTTAGTTCAGTAGAGATGGGCAATTCCAGACCTGAAATTATCCAAATGATTCTACTGAGGGTTCTGAAAGCACTTCCTGTATTACCACATGCCATCACAAGAGAGAAGAAAGGGTATCTCTGTTGCAGCTATAACATTAAGACTCGGTGTACATCCTCAACCTTGTTTTTTTTACTTTACTGTTTTGTACCATTTTGTTTTTGTTTAATAAAAAAAAAAAAATAAGTGTGACAGAAGAACTCAGTATTCTGGATTTGTGTGTTAAACATGTGCAAATGAAACAAAACACAACTTCTGGTATGTTTTTTGAAGAGAAAACAACATTATAACATAAATCAGGTAATTTCTCTCCAGCGACTAGGTCAGGAATCGGAAGACACTAGATGGTTTGCAAGAACCCCAGAAGTGTGAGTTCGGGCACCAGCCAATGTGTTGGCAGCTATTCCCGAGATCGAGGATTTAAAGCCGCAACAAAGAGAATGTTTGATGAATTTTATCAAGGGAAAAGATGTTATTGCCCTTCTTCCTACAGGATTTGGGAAAAGCCTAATATACCAGTTAGCCCCATTAGCGGCGCCTTATACGCATCACAACCAAACAGCAGCAATTGGTTAAATAAAATCCTAATGCTGCGAGATCAGATGGTTTCCACGAAGTGAAACTGGCTGATGAATCAGGCTAGTGGACCTCTAAGAAATCACAATAATTAAAAGATTGATAGCAAATTGTTTACAATGACAGCACAGTAGTCAAAGGTCTTTCATCTGTTATTAGACTTTCTTAATGAGGATACACTTTGAGACAGCTTGTGTAGTGTGCATAAGTTGTAACAATTATGTTGTTTAAACTGACCCATGCCCCACTTATTTACAATTTACACATTGTTTCTGTGTGCGTGTGTTTTGTTTGTTTCCTTTTGTCGATTTTGTTGGTGTTAATGTACAGACAACCATCATGGCAAACACAGCAGCTGCAGAAAACTCAACTAAAATGCATTTCTAAATATGCGTTAGATAGTCAGTGTCCCTCTTTTCATTACAGAGCTACATGCAGCTGCTCCAACAGCATTCCTCCCTGGAGTACTCCCAGAGCCAGCTGAGTCTGCTGAGTCTGTGCAGAGAGCCGGGGCACCGTGGGGGGCGCCCTGGGGAACCCCGCCTGGAGTGGAAGGTCAAAGTTCGAGCCGACGGAACACGCTACGTTGCCCGAAGACCTGCCCGCGACCGCATACTGAGGGAGAGGGCGCTACGGATCAGAGAGGAGAGGAGCGGAGGCATGACCACTGATGACGACGCCATGAGTGAAATGAAGATGGGAAGATACTGGAGCAAAGAGGAACGAAAGCAGCATTTGGCGCGAGCGAGGGAGCAGAGGAAGAGGAGGGAGTTCATGCAGAAGAGTCGGCTTGAGTGTCTGAGAGAGGGGCCGGGGAGCAGTGCAGAAGCCAAAAACCAGGTCAATATCTTGGAGCTGAGCCACAAGAAGATGCTGAAGAAAAGAAACAAAAAGATCTTGGATAACTGGATGACTATTCAGGAGCTGATGAGTCACGGAGCCAGAGTGCAGGAGGACTCTAAAGTACATAATGCCTTCCTCTCAGTCACCACAGTGTAGCCTCTGTGCCCCCAAACCCTTCAAACAACCTTTCAAAATAACAGACTTCAGCCGCCACTGCGAATGTGTACTACTTAAAAGTGAACTATGTAGCTTTTCTGGTGGAGGGTCTGCTACCTGCTTGTCTCCATGGTACGGTGGCCGGCAAGTTTAAAACATTTCACAACACAAATTAACAAGTCTGAAAACAAAATTACATTTAAAATACACATTCACATCTTGAAAATAAATTCCAAGTTTCATAAAACACATTTGCAAATGAGCAAACAAATTTACAAAACAAGAAACATTTGTACAAATGCCGCTGCAGCAAAAACACAAATACAAACCCCTGAAACAAATTAACAAGAAAGTTCTTGACTGAAAGAAAATGTCCTAAAAAGCGGAAATGACGAATGACCATAACACTGGTTTTGCCCAGTAGTTCACTAATGCTAGTCATTGTTCGCCTTTAAGCTTTCATCTTTCTTACCTTAATAGTTGTGGATAAATTCTTCATGGGCAGAATATCTTCTTTATCGGCCTTGTTGGATGGAGATTTGGTGATGGGGCAGATTTATGAAGGAAAATATGCCAGACATTTCCATATATTTTCCCATAGAAAAGCATTAACTGAAGTTACGTTTATCCTACATTGTGGCACTTCCTGCCTTGTGCTGGGTTTGTATTTGTGTTTTTGCCACATGTAAATTTGTCTCGCCACTTGTACAAGTGTTTCATGTTTTGTAAATTTGTTTGCACATTGGCAAATGTGCTTTATGAAACTTGGAATTTGTTTTCAAGATGTAAATGTGTATTTTAAATGTAATTTTGTTTTCAGGCTTGTTAATGTGTGTTTTGAAATGTAAAAGTGTTTTGCACTTGCCGGTCACTATACCATGGAGATTTTATAATTATAATTTTTTCTTCTTTTTCTCTTCTTTTTTAAGTGCTTTTCTAACACCCAAGGTCACTTTACAGGGCATAAACACAATAAAAACAACATTAATACAATGATCTATAAAAGTGGGTTTTGAGATGGGACTTGAAAACTTGAGATCATTTGCCTGAGCTTGTGTTGTTGCTTTTCCAGGAAAGTTCCACAGTATGGTGTTAGATGTATCTATTCTGCATGTATTCAAATACATGTGTTTTTATTTCTCAAAAATACCTTGAAAAATATGCATTCTTACTGTGAGCTGTGTTGCCTCTTCACAGATCTGATCTAAAATTTGGCCTAGTGTCTGCTTGTCTCCAGGGAGTTAAGTTTAATGCCATACTGCGGATTATTCCAGGCAAAGCAATGACATCTACTGTACATGGAAATGAGCAGATGGCATGCAGTCCACCAGAAAAGTTCCACAGTGCACCTTTAATATTAGACCTCAGCTTTGTACACTGTGGAATGACTTTTCTAATTCACTGCTTTTGGACACTTTTGTAGCATGTTGGTTCAAACGAATGCAATTCAAAAACCAACACAGTTATGTATGTGTGTATTGTGTCAGCATTTACTCCATCATACAGTTTGTTGTATTTGTTTCATTGAGATGAAGCAGCTTTTCTTGCCTCGTTCAATGTGGCACTTTTTATAATGGGGAAAAATACAATATTTTTCACTCTTTGTACTTACAGTGATGTTTTGTAAGGGCTTTTTTACTCTGATTGTGAATCTTCTGGAAATATCTGAGTGTACCGTTTTATTTAATTTAAACAAATGTATGTCTTTGGTGATTTTAACTCATCAAACTCTCTTAAACTTAGTAGCACTGATTATACAAATGCATACCCAAATGATCATTCTAGGCTGGGTTTACAAGTTTCTTGCCATATTTAAAATTCTATCTCTGTAACACTTGAATTTATGTTATGCTCTTTCTAAATGTCCAATGTCTTGTTTATATTATAATGTTAAATACATCTGTGTTCATAAAGCTCATTTTTATTTATTGTAAATTAAATCCTTTCTTGTTAACTTTACTGAAAATCCAGGCACTGTTTAAATGTGTAATATAATTGCTGCTTTTTCTCCATAAAGACATTGAAGAGGCCTTGTCTTCAGCATTTGTCACTGGTGAAATTTGTTTAAAAAATAAACAATGATTTCATATATTACAAGCAATGGTGTAGTTTGGTCTGTTTATTAAGGATATGAAATCGGATTAGGATTACATAGATAAAGGTTTACACTAATTACAATTTATTAAAATTAATTAAAATAATCATTGCTAATTAATTCTAATACAAAAATAGCAATGCAAATATCAAATATGAGCTAGTAATGGTTAAGGACAAATAAGGACATTAACCTATTCTGTCTGTTTAGCCATAAAGATGCACTATGTAACTTTTCTGAAGGCCAGCCTGCAGTATTATTTATTTTTCTTTACTGTATTTTGGACATAATAAAAGATTATTCAAACGTGTGAATGAAACAAAACACAACTTTGTGTATGCCTTTCATGAGGTAAAAAAAAATTAAAAATCCCATTGCTTAAAGCTCACAAGAGTCAATTTTGCGTAATATAGAACAATCTGTGTATATCATTCGTTCATTTGTTTTTCAATATAAAACCAAAAATAAAATAACGAAAAAAACTACTATTTTCTTCATTATTTGTCTCCAAAATCAAAATGAAAAAAAGGATAACGATTTGTTTTTTCAGTTTTCGATTTTGTGTTTAAATTAATAATGGACAAAATGGATAACAGCCCTTGCCTGTTTTTGTGACTTAAACTGCGATGCTGGACTTTTGCACTGCATACAGACTGAACCAGGACTAAAACAAAACTAAACCAGGTCCAGGATCAGACTGGAACTAAATGGGAACTGAAATCAGGACATAGACTGGGACCAGGCCAGGACTGAGACCAGGACTGAGCCCAGACCACCGGGACCAGACCGGGACTGACCGGGACTGAGATCAGGACTGAGGCTGGTACCAGACCAGGACCAGACCGGGACTGAAACCAGGACCAGACCAGGACTGAGACCAGGACTGAGACTGTGATCAGACCAGGACTGAAAACAGTTTAGTCCTGGTTTAGCCCTGTTTTAGTCCTGTTTCAGTCCTGGTTCAGTCCATATGCAGTGCAAAAGTCCGGCATTACTGTTTAAGTCATGGAAACGGGAAAAGGCCATTATCCATTTTTTCCATTATTCATTTAAATACAAAATCGAAAAGTGAAAAAAACGAATCATTACCTGTTTTTCCATTTTGGTTTTGGAGACAAATAATGAAGAAAATAGTTATTATTTTTGGTTTTTATATTGAAAAATGAATGAATGAATGATACACGGATTTAGAACCTTTAATGTTAATGAACCTCCTTGAACCGTCACCTTATCGTGGTGGAGGGGTTTGAGTGCCCGAATGATCCCGGGAGCTATGTTGTCGGGGCTTCATGCCCCTGGTAGGGTCACCCAAGGCAAACAGGTCCGGGGGGACGGGTCAGACGAAGAACGGTTCAGAAGCCCCTGAGTGATGAGTGTACGAGCAAGGCCAGTTACGTCGCCCGGATTGGCGTCACCGGGGCCTCACCCTGGAGCCAGGCCTGGGGTGGGTGCTCGCCAGCGAGCGCCTGGTGGCCGAGCCTCCCCCCACGGGGCTCGGCCGGGCTCAGCCCGAAGGAGCGACGTGGGGCCGTCCTCACGTGGGCCCACCACCCGCAGGAGGAGCCATATGGGGCCGGTGCAGAGAGATCTGGGCAGCAGTCGACGGCGGGGGCCTCAGCGACCGGATCTCCGGACATGGAGACTAGCTCTGGGGACATGGAATGTCACCTCGCTGGAATGTCACAAGCCTGAGCTTGTGCGGGAGGTTGAGCGTTACCGACTAGATATAGTCGGCCTCACCTCCACGCACAGTTTGGGCTCTGGAACCCAACTCCTTGAGAGGGGCTGGACTCTCCATTTCTCTGGCGTTGGTCACGGGGAGCGGCGGCGGGCTGGTGTGGGCCTGCTCATTGCCCCACAGCTCAGTCGCTGTGTGTTGGAGTTCACCCCGGTGAATGAGAGGGTCGCGTCCCTGCGCCTTCGGGTCGGGGACAGGTCTCTCACTGTGGTGTCGGCCTACGGGCCGAACAGCAGTGCTGAGTACCCGGCCTTCTTGGAGTCCTTGGGAGGGGTACTAGACAGTGCACCGACCGGGGACTCCGTTGTTCTCCTGGGGGACTTCAACGCCCACGTGGGCAACGACAGTGACACTTGGAGAGGGGTGATTGGGAGGAACGGCCTCCCCGATCTGAACCCGAGTGGTGTTTTGTTATTGGACTTCTGTGCTAGTCACAGTTTGTCCATAACAAACACCATGTTCGAGCACAAGGGTGCCCATAAGTGCACGTGGCACCAGGACACCCTAGGCCGGAGGTCGATGATCGACTTTGTCGTCGTGTCATCTGATCTCCGGCCGCGTGTCTTGGACACTCGGGTGAAGAGAGGGGCTGAGCTGTCAACTGATCACCACCTGGTTGTGAGTTGGGTTCGCTGGCGGAGGAGGAAGCCGGAAAGACCTGGCAGGCCCAAGCGTGTAGTGAGGGTCTGTTGGGAACGTCTGGCGGAGCCCTCTGTCAGAGGGACCTTCAACTCGCACCTCCGGGAGGACTTCTCCCGGATTCCGGGGGAGGCTGGAGATATGGAGTCCGAGTGGGCTTCATTCTCGGCCTCTATTGTCAATGCAGCTGTTCGGAGCTGTGGGCGTAAGGTCTGTGGTGCCTGTCGCGGCGGCAACCCCAGAACCCGGTGGTGGACACCGGAAGTAAGGGATGCTGTCAAGCTGAAGAAGGAGTCCTATCGGGCCTTGCTGGCTCGGGGGACTCCTGAGGCAGCTGACAGGTACCGGCGGGCCAAGCGTGCTGCAGCCCGTGTGGTCGCGGAGGCAAAAACTCGGAGCTGGGAGGAGTTCGGGGAGGCCATGGAGAAGGACTATCGGACGGCCTCAAAGAGATTCTGGCAAACCGTCCGGCGCCTCAGGAGGGGAAAGCAGTTCTTCACCAACACTGTTTACAGTGCGGGGGGAGTG